TATAGCATAGAAAAATAGATCTATACACACCCACACCTATAATCTCATATATACCCACACCCACCCACATACGTACATATACCTACAAAAACACACACACACACACACCCTAACACATACATACTCATAGCTAAACACACATACACATATACACACACATACACACATATACACACATATACACACACATACACATACATACACACACATACACACACATACACACACACATACACACACATACACACACATACACACACATACACACACATACACACACATACATTGTATATATGTATATTTGTTACATATGTGATAAACATATATACAAACAGAAAAAAGTTTATCAAAAATAAATACATAAATTATTATTTTAATGATAACACAGTTTTGTATGATAACAGGCGAATCTTCTTATATATATACACTGTATATATAAGTAAGGGGTGATTAACATATTACGTTCGCACTTGAGGGGAGGGTGGGTCAGCCAAAGCGAATTTTTGCAAACTAGAGGTAATGGAGGGTTAGTTATCTTAAGAACGTTCGAATTTAGATATTTTATTTTTTAGTTGTGGTGGTGGGGGGGGGGGTTAGCGGTTATGGAAATGTGAACGTAATTTTTTGTTTATAATAACTACATGCGAACATTTGCGAACATAGGGGAGGGGAGGGATCTAGATTTAGTTTTATAAAAAAAGTACGAACGTAATATGTGTACAGACCCTAACCAGTAAATAGCCGATACTGTACATTTCTATATACAATGTATAAATACTGTTATTATTATTAGCAAAATAGACAAACAAATTATTATTCAAACAACAATTTAAAAAAAAATAACTACTGCTTATATTTGTGAAATAAATTGAATATTGAAGATCACATAAAAAATAATAAGTAATAAAAAAAAAGTTAAAAAAAACTATTTTTTTTCAATGTCATATTATTATGTCTAAATCAACAACAAAATAAATATATAAAATTATTTATTATATATAAATTATTAATAGTTTCTTTGTTGTAACAAAACTAAAAATAATAATAATAATAATTTTTTGTTTAGTTTAGTGAAATATTATACACTGTATATCAACAGTATATATATATATATATATATATATATATATATTATATTTTAGCTTATATTTCATAAAAGTAACTTAAATCTTAGTTTTTATCAAACAAAAAACAACAATTTTTTTGAATACAAATTATATTAAACTTTAATAAATTACACTAAAAAAGTAACTAATAATAATAATAATAATAATAAATGTTATTAAAACTATTGTAAATTATTATATTTAAGTTATATAGTTTATATTATATTTTGTGTGTGTGTGTTTATGTGTAATTATTATTACTAATAATGACTATCTATGATAAAATATATTTTAATGATATCTGTGACACACCATTTTGGGTAAGTAATTTGTTGTTTATTGTTGTGTATCAGTGAGTGAGTGTGTGTAAGTTTGTGTGTGAGTGTGTGTGTGTGTGTGTGTGTGTGTGTGTGTGTGTGTGTGTGTGTGTGTGTGTGTGTGTGTGTGTGTGTTTTACACACTATGTAATGTTTATTTAATTTATTTTTATTTAAATTGTTAAGTATAAAGTTTATCTACTAATAATAAATTATCAATTAAGTGTGGATATAGTAATATAATATGCTTAAAACGCACACATACTGTACACAAACACACACACACATACACACACACAAATCTAGTCTAACATTTATAATATACATTGTATACATATATTATACAACCTAGGACATTGATCAAATTTGGTTAACTAATTCACCAAAACTGAGTCCATGTTTTACCGATACTGTTTGCGTTTGGTTTACAACCGGTTTCCTAACAATTGTCGCCCCGTATATCATATGGACATCAGTAGGAGTAGGTCGTCGATCGCGACCAACCATTCCCTACAACTACTATAATATTAGTCGACTGACCATTGCTTGTCTGTTGACAATCGTAACTATAGTCGATTTGGGTCTAAGTCTCTATCGGCGATACCATCATAAACACGATGACAGCACCGATAGTCAAACAACTATTGCTTATCTATTGCGGACCGGACTGTTGATAGTTAGTCGGCTACTGATTACAACAATACTATACTATCATCGACTGTATGGCATACATAACAGTGGGTTTGTTTGGTTTTATCAACTATTGGACACTATTTCCGGTGTCCTATCGATTACTGCTTATGTTTTAGCACAACATAATAGTAGTATAGTTTTCAATGAAAAACTAATAATCATATGTTTGGAGTTTTTATTGACTTCAATACTACTAATTCAATGTTCAATTGCCGACCGATTATTGATGGTCAACAACATTGACAATAGCTGTCCCAAAGATAGGGTATCATTTATATCGCGTCTAACCTATCTATGGGTAGACAGTCTATTGTGGAATGGTTTTCGAAAACCGCTAAAATTGACAGATCTATGGCCAAAGCGGTCATCAAATATGGCTTCAAATTTAGTAAAAAAATTTGAAAAATATTATAAAATTAGTCAACCATTTGATCGACAATCTAGTGATGACACCGATAAAGAAACGGTAGTCAACAACAACAACACCAATAAGTCCTGGTTTTTAAAATCATTAGTTAATAAAGTTTATAATAATAAAAGACAACAACAATATACGGTTGTTAGCCTATCATCTAATAATAATAATAATAATAAAATAAATATATTTAGTTTATTGTGGCATCAATTTTGTTGGTATTATTTGGGACCGACTATACTGTTTGTATTGTTGGAAATGTCTGATACGGTTATCATAATTATAATCAAGTAATGTATAATTTTTATTTAAATATACTGTATATACAATATATATAAATATAATTTAAATATTTATAATATATTATATGATTTATTTATTTTGTGTGTGTTTTTGTTTAATTAATATAAGTTATAATATTTATATACTATCTATTGTTTATATATTTATAGTACACTATATAATATACTTAAAATTATTAGAATATTAATTCAAAAAATTAATATTTAAAGTTAAAATTATTTGTTTGTTTATTTGTCTATAAATCTCAATATACTCCAAATATATATAAATATATTTTTTAAATTTTATGTTTTTGATCATAATTTTTATTTATTCACTTTTTGAATTGTTAGATAAAGATTATTATTTATATTTTAATATATTTTTTTTTAAAAAAAATCTACACAAATTATTAAAATATGTGTATAGTTTAGTATACATGATTTATTATATATATATATATATATATATATATATAAATTTAGTTTTATTAATAGTTTAATTGTTTATTAAACCAGTTTAATTAAATTGATTACTATATGTTTAATTTTTTTTAATATATAAAACTTTCTAATATTCTATAAAGTATTTAAATTAATTAATTAATAAAAAAATTAAATAACTGTTGAAAAAAATTGAAAAACTAGTTATTAAATTAAATATTTAGTTTATTAATAAATTATTTTGTTTGATTGAATTTAGATTAATATTAAATTTTATGGACAACTCGGAGCCCCAATGGCACGGATATGTCTACTGTTTTATGCTATTAGCCACCAATTCAACCATAGGTTTTATTGAACCATATAATCAACAAAAAATGCAAACATTAGGTATTAGTAGTTTATAATTATTATTATTAGTATTATACAATTATTAGTATTATACAATTATTAGTATTACAATTATTAAAAGTTTAAATTTTAATAATATTATTATAATGCTTTAGCCAAGGTACTTTATATAACTTTTATAACTAATATAAGCTAATTGTATACTAAGTTAAATTTAAACTTTTAATTGGCATTATCTGTGTATTAATCAAACAAACAAACAAAACCAAATAATATTAATAATAAATATTAAAAAAAATTGAAAATTAAATATTTTTAAACTGAATAGTATTTTTTATTAATTTATTTTTTTTTAAATATAAATATCTATAAATTTGATTAATAGGACAACGAATCAAATCATTGTTAACATCACTGGTCTATCGCAAGTCATTGGTGTTGAGTAATGATAGCAAACGTGAGGCCAATACCGGACAGATAGTCAATCTCATGAATATTGATTGTCAAAGATTTTTAGGTATTTATTAATTAATTAGTTAATAATAATAAAATTTTTATTTTAAAGTAAAATTTATAAAAAAAAACAATAATATTAATAATAAATTTTAGAAATGCTTCCCAATATCAATCAATTGTGGGCAATATGCGTACAATTAGGCATACATTTGTATTTACTATACAATGAAATGGGTTTAGCAATGATATCGGCAATAGTATTGTTGTTAATAGCATTGGTATTCAATGCCTATGTTATCAAACGTATAGATAGGATAACTACAGATCAAATCCAATTGAAAGACAATCGACAAACAGTTATCAATGATGTACTCAATGGTATCAAAGTATTAAAAGTATTGATTGATTTTTATTTTATTTATTTTTTCTTACAAAATTGATATTTTTTATGGCTAATAAACAATAGTAAAATAGTTATTAAATAATTATCTCTTTTATAAAATAATTTTTATAATATTTTTTCAAAATCGTTTTTTTAAACTCCTATTTTAATAGTTGTACGCCTGGGAGGAGGCGTTTATCGAAAAGATTGAGAAATTGCGTTCAAAAGAGTTACAAAACTTACGAAAAGCCGGTTATTGGAGTTCGCTATTAATATTTACGGCAAATAGTCTAACATTTTTTACATCACTAACTACTTTCGGTATATTCATTGCCATCGATTCGTCGGCAACAATGTCCGCCCAGAAACTGTTTGTGTCGATAGTATTGTTGCGCAGCATTCAGTCGGCCCTACAAAACATACCGTCCAATATTAGCCGATTAATATTAGTAATATAGTCTATAAAAATTAATTAATTAATTAATTGTTAACATATTTATTATTATTTTTTGTTGATTATTAATTAATAGGTAATAATTTCGGTAAAACGTTTGAATAAGTTTCTAAATTTACCCGAAATTTCTAATTATGTGACAAATAATACGGATAACGATTATATGGTTTGTATAGATAAGGCTAGCTTTTCATGGACTACAACAACAAAAACAATACAAACCATTAATGGAGATGGAGAAGCAAATTATGATATGGATTATAATAGTGTTAATACTGAAACAGCGGACACAATCAATACCGCCACTACCAACAACAACAGCAACAGTAATATTATTTTAGCTACTGTTCCACAAAAATGTTTGAATGATATAAATTTGAAAATAACTGACGGTATGTTTGTGGCGATCATCGGCAGAGTCGGATCGGCAAAGAGTTCACTACTGTCGGCACTGTTAGGCGAAATGGATAGACTGTCCGGTAGTGTTAACATTAGACACGGTGTTAGTATAGCCTATGTTCCCCAACAGCCCTGGATTATCAATAAGACACTCAAAGATAATATATTGTTTGGCAAAGACAACGATCCAGTGTTTTATAAACAAGTTATCAATAGCTGTGCACTCAGTGATGATCTGAGACAACTGTCCTCCGGAGATGAGACAGAAATCGGCGAAAAAGGTATTAATCTGAGCGGAGGTCAGAAACAAAGGGTTAGTTTAGCCCGAGCTGTCTATAGTGAAGCCGATCTCTATCTACTCGATGACCCACTTTCGGCAGGTATTTAAAAAATATAATATATTATTATTAGTAAAACTTTTTAATAATTATTTTTTTAAACTAAAAAATAAAATAGTGGACAGTCATGTGGGACAACATATTATGCGTGAAGTGCTTCACTCGGAAACCGGTTTATTGCGAAATAAGACCCGAATTATGGTTACAAATCAATTGTTTGTATTGCCATTCGTTGATCAGATAGTTGTCTTAAAAAACGGCAAAATTGAATCCATCGGTACTTATAATGAATTATTGGAATCGGACGAAGAGTTTCGTGAAGTTTGCAAACAATCCGCAGTTGTCGACAACAATGACAGTAATAGCGGTGACTTAATTGAAACTACAGCTAAAGTATTGGTTAGAAAACGGAAAATCAATTTACAAACAAAAGATGATATGTTGATAACTGTCGACAATATTAGTAACGGTGGCTCTGGTAGTGGTAGTGGTAGTAGTGGTAGTAGTGGTAGTAGTGGTAGTAGTGGTAGTAGTGGTAGTAGTGGTAGTAGTAGTAGTGATACCGATAGTATTAGGAGTAATAGTAATGGAAAATTGATTGACGAGGAAACGGCCCAAACCGGAAAAATCAAATTTAATGTAAGTATTAGTTTGTTATTACTGTAATTTAAATAAATATTTCAAACAATTTATAATTATATATATAAAAAAAAGTTTTTAAACTAAATAATAAACTTCCATTAAAATAACAAACAATACATATAATACAGATAACAATCATTTATGTAATAAATAATTTATTTAAAAATAGTAATTACCGGTATTGAAAAAAACAACAATAATAATCTTATATAAAATATAATACAAAAAAAACATTTTCTAGAAAATAACAAACAAAAAATATGGAAATATTTTTTTATAATAAATAAATTATTTATTTAGATTTACATGAAATATATGAAATCGATGTCAATATTGTTTACACTATTGATAGTTATGTTTAATATGATTGGCATTGGCTTTGATTCGGCGGCAAAATTCTGGTTAAGCGACTGGAGTTCAGACACCGATACCAATAAAAATACATATTATTTTGCAATCTATGCGGTCATCGGTTTGGCTAACGTTGTCTTTATTGGGATCACATTTTTATCAATTATTTTCGGTGTAGTCTTAGCAGCCAAACGATGGCATCGGCGGCTAATGTCATCAATACTACACTCGCCGATGAATTTCTTTGATACGACACCATTGGGCCGTATATTCAACCGGTTTAGCAAAGATATAGACGTTTTGGACACTCAAATGATACAGAATCTAAGGTTAACATTATTTTTCTTTTAATTATTTCAATTTATTTATTTAGATATTTATTGCTTAATATTATAAGTTTTTTAATGATTTTATTTTCTTAATGTATTAATTTTTTTAATTAATTAATATAGTTTATGGTTAAATTCAATAATATTAATTTTAAACACAATGGTTATAGTGAGCATTAAAATACCTATATTTTTACCGGTAGTTATATTTTTGATCGCTATATTTTTACTAATTCAGGTAAATTTTTCAAAAATAAAAAAATCAATAAATATTTTATTTAAAAATTTTTTAATATATAACTATATATTTAAAATATATATATATTTTTATTATAGAAATATTATATAAGAACTTCACGACAATTAAAACGGTTTGTTTGTTAAAAAAAATTCTTATATTTTAATTGATTTTTTATTATTTAAAAATAAAAAATATTTTTTCCCCCAATTATTTAATATATCATTACACAGACTTGAATCGGTCAGTCGGTCTTTCATTTACAATCATTTCGGCGAAACACTGGCCGGCATATCAAGTATCCGGGCGTACGGCTATCAGAATCGGGCCGTCCGTGAATTGGACGACCGTATAGATACCAATCAACGGTGTCTCTATGCTAGTGCTATGTCGTTGAGTTGGGTAACCTTACGGTTGGAAATGATAACATCGTTGTTCATGTTTTTTGCCGCACTGTTTGCTGTACTGGGAAAAGGGAGACTAAACGGCGGCTCAGTTGGTCTTATACTAAACTATGTGACCGAAATTGCCGGCTCTGTCAATACGTTTATCAATTTGACGGCAATAATGGAGAATAATATGGTTTCCGTTGAACGAGTAGATGAATACTCGGCACTAAAACCGGAAGCCGACTGGCATTCTAGTAGTGCTGACCAGTCGTCGGCTGTTAGCACTGTTGTCGGCAATAAATGGCCAGAAACGGGATGTATAGAGTTTGTCGACTATAGTACCCGATATCGTGAGGGATTGGATTTAGTACTCAAACAGATTTGTATTAAAATCGATGCCAAGGAAAAGGTTTTAAGTTTTTTAAATATTAATTTTAATATATAATTAATAACTGTTAAAATTATTATTATTATTATTTAAGATCGGAATCGTTGGCCGCACCGGTTCGGGAAAGTCGTCACTGAGTTTAGGATTATTTCGTATAATAGAGTCAGTCGGCGGCAAAATAGTGATCGACGGCATAGATATCAGTCAATTGGGTTTACATGTAATACATATAATAATAGTAATAATAATAGAAAATTAAGTAAATATTATCTCTTTTAATAAAAATAGGATCTGCGCTCTGGCCTAACAATTATACCACAAGAACCGGTACTGTTTGCCGGCACTGTTCGCTCAAATTTAGATCCATTTGATCGGCACTCGGACTCCGAGTTGTGGACAGCCTTAGAGCGATCACATCTCAAACATTATGTTTTGTCCGACGAATCGGGACTCGACTTTCCAATCAATGAGGGCGGAGATAACCTCAGTGTTGGTCAAAGACAACTCATTTGTTTGGCCCGAGCTTTGCTCAGAAACACAACTGTCCTCATACTTGATGAGGCAACGGCTGCTATCGATGTTGAGACCGATACACTCATACAGACAACTATTAGGTCAGAGTTTGCCAACTGTACTGTACTAACCATTGCTCACAGACTAAACACTATACTTGATTCCGATCGTGTGTTAGTCCTATCCGATGGACGGGTAGTAGAGTTTGATTCGCCAACAGTTCTACTCTCAAACATTTCATCACAATTTTATTTATTAGCAAAAAATGCGGGCATTGTTTGAATTATTTAATTAATTTTTTTTGTTAGATTTTTAAAAAAAATATATTATTTACTAATATTATTATTATTATCATTAATAGAAAATAATTTCAAAATCAAGTACAATATTATATTTATAACAAGTTTTTACCCGATTTTTTAATTATTTATTTTTATAAGTAATTAAATATTTTAAGTATTTAATTAAATAAGTTTTTTTTAAACAAGTTTTTTAATAAAAAATAGATTTTAAGATAATTACTAAAATATAGATATGAAAATTTTTTAATTTAAATTAATATTTATTCTAATTTTATATTATGTTTTTTTTAAAATAAAAAACACAAAATTATTATAAAATTAATAATAAATTATCGTAAAAATAAAATTATAAAAAATTAACAATAAACTCATTTTAATCAATTTAACTCTATGTAAATAAAAAAATTTAATTAAATTTAATAAAATTAATAAAATTAAATTTTAATTAAACAAAAAAAATTATTACTTTTTCAATAATCTCAAGACAACAACAACAGTAGTCAGCAGTAGTAGACAACAACTGCCGACAACCGGTACGGCCACTGATAGCTTCGGCGGCCAACAACTATTACCACCACCCGATCGGTTGGTAGTAGTGGTTGCCGACGACCGTAGTTTGGCCATCGCTACTAGCCTGTCCTCTGGGCACAGTTCGCCAATCTTGAACTGTACCAACAGTTCGCGGGCATCGGCCGAATGGCCAACATCTTCAAATGCTTCGGTGGCATCGGTTAGACCATCACCACTACTAACCGACTGTTCCAACAGTACTTCTGCACCTCCGGGATGTTCCTCAAGATATTTGGTCACATCATAGACAGAGTTGTCTATCAATAGCCAAACCGATTCGGACTTCTTGTTGTTATGTTTGACCAATTCATTCAATGTAAATAACTTTACCATCGATTCAGACATTTTTTAAAATTTAAGATATTAATAACACACACACACATGTATATTATATTATTAATAATTTATCTATTTTTAATAAAAACAAACATTTATTATTAATTTTATTTGATAATAAAAATATATCAAATAATTTATATATATATATATATATATATATTTTTTTATCATACATACAGTACATATACATTCTATATCAATATATGATATGTCAATATTTAAAATGTCTAATGTATACTATGTGATATTACTTATATCTCTATTAAAAAATAATAATAAAATAATTTTATCTATTAAAAATATGTGTGTATCAATGCAAACACATATTATTATTATGTTATTTAAAAAAAAAAATAATGATTATTTTAATTTTAATTTTTTAAATATCAATGTTCAATTTTTTTGTTTGTTTGTTCAAATATGTCAGAAAAAAAATATTTTTGGTTAAAAATTTTTATATTTAACAATCAAATAATAAATTAAATAATTATCATATAATTCAATATTTTATTCAATATTAATTCAATACCATTAAATAAAAATATAAATTCTAGAATTATCAAAAAATATATAAATATAAATATAAAGATATTAATATTAAATATTATTGACACACACACTCACCCACAATATATATATATATATATATATATATATATATATATATATATTTATAGATTATTTTAAATAATTAATACAATTTTTAAAAAAATATTTAAACTTAATAACAACTATGATATAATTTCTATTGATTTATAATATACTAAAACAGTTTAAATTAGGCTAAAACTTAATAATATAATAGTTTTTTTTAATTGTTTAATAAGTATTATCGATATATGATAAATAGCTATTATAAATATTCTAGTATTTTAAATAAATAATTTTAATTTATATTTTATTATAAACTAGATTTTTTTAGGTTTATAAATTTTCTAACTTTTTTTAAAAAAAGTAGAATTATTGTAAAATGTTATTATTAGTTAAATGTAATGATTAAACAAAAATTATTAACTTAAAAAACTACTTAAATATTAAAAATTTAATTATCATAAAGAAAATATAGTGTTTTTATTTAATTAAATTGCAATTATTGTTAATTTTTTTTAACTAATCATAAAATATTAGAAACTACAGTATTACACAAAAAATAACATTTCAAAACAATTAAAATATTATTATAATAACAAATGAAAAATTGTTTTTAATTGCTTAATAAAACTTATAACTTAAAAATAAAGTATAAATTCAATCAAAAAGTACATTTATATAAATTTAAAAAATATTTTTTATTAAGTTTATTAAAATATAAATAAAATATTATTTATATAAAATTATGTCATTTATAACTTTTATCGGTTTTTATTTGTTTGCCTTAATGTTTGCCAGTAGTAGTAGTCATACGGCACAGTCGGCAACCATTGTTAACGACCGTATTGTTGGCGGCAATGCAGTCAATATCGCTGAATATCCCTATACTGTAGCCATTATTAAAGGATCGGATTGTCATAACTTTACATTTATAAGTTAGTGGTTTATGATTGTTTGATTGATTGACTATACACTGCACATCCCATTCCCCCCACCCATCTCATTGTTTATTATTATACTAATTTATTTTAATTATCTGAAATTATTAACAATCTATAGGTAACGGTGCTATAGTTGGCAACAAATGGATACTGACATCCAGTTTTGATGAGTAAAATAAATATATAATTATAATATAATTATAATAATAATAATAATTTTTCTTAAATATAAAAAAAAATAGCAAAACAATTGCTAAATTAGTAAACAATTTGGACGACTACTATGTAAGAGCCGGTGCTAGCAATTTGTTCAGCGATTGTCTAGTATCTAAACATACCGTTACCATCCAAATAGATAAAGTCATACTACACGACAATTTCAATAAATATCCGATAGCTTTGTTACGATTGTCACAATCGTTTACCTATGGCCTGACTATCCGAAAAATCCGACTGTCCAAACATTATGTAGCCGACGGTACCGATGCTCGATTAACCGGTTGGGGTGGGGTATCATCAACTGGCCAACAATATTCACCGCAATTACAAGTGGTCCAATTGAAAACAATTGGTTGGCAACAGTGTAAAAAATTGGCCAATTTTTCGGTCGAACCCGATGTCGACTTGTGTACAGTTAGCGACCATAAGGGAGGGTGTAATGTAAGGATAATTTTATTTTTATTTATTTATTTATTAATATTTTAATTAATATTTTAATTACTAATTAATTAGTAAAAGTAATTGAAAAAATAAATAAATTAATAATATTTTTTTTTGTTGAAAAAATTAACAACAAAAATAATTACTATTTTATTGTTTTTAAAGAATAATTTAATTAATATTATAATTACTAATTCATAGTAATAGTAATTGAAAAAAATTAATTAATATTTTTTTTTTGAAAAATTTAACAACAAAAAAAATCAATATTTTTATTATTATTTTCCTTTTTTTTAAATGTAAATTATGTTTTATTTAATTAGTATAATCTGTTAGTAAAATAATTATATTGGTTTTTTTTGTTAAATTGCCCAGGGCGATTATGGAGCACCATTAGTTAGCAATGATCATCAATTGTTAATTGGTGTTAACACCTACTACAAGTGCGGTACAAACAAATACGATGACTATTCAAGTGTCTCATATTTTTACGATTGGATACAACAAAATATTAATTAATTTTTGTTTTTTAAAAAAATAGTTATAAAAAATTTTCAATTATTTTTTTTCCATATAAAACTAATTTTTTAATTGACAGTTTTTTTTCAGTAATAATTAATAATGCAAGCAATAAAACAGTTTTTTAAAAAATAATAAATTATTGTATACTTTAAAATATGTTTTCAATATAAAAAAAATATTATAAAGTTTGATTTTTGTTGTAAATTAAATAGTATTAAATTTAGACATGATTTATTTTTTGTATTATTAATTATGATTTATAATGATTTGCCATTTTTAAAAAAAAAATAACAGTCCAATAGAAAATTGATTTTATAGGAAAAAAATAAGTATTTTTTAAAAAATAATTTATTGTTATCATATTATTATTTTATAAAATATTTTTTAAAATAATTTATTGATACAACATTGTTATCATATTATTATTTTATAAATTAATTTATAATAAAGTTTTAATAAATAGCAAACTAGAATAAAACTAAAAATTAGAAATAAAATATTCAAGATACTTTACAAATTATAAAATAAATTTTTTAAAAAAATAAGTTAGATTTTTATTGGTTTGACCATTTTATTTCTAATTTTTTTTAATATAGCTTTATTCAAGTTTGCTATTGTTATTTTTTTTATTAAATACTTTATTAAAAAATATTTTATAAAAAATAATAATATGATATAACAATAATTTATTAATAAATTATCAAAACAAAAATATTTTTTAATAAAATATTTCAATTATTTTTTTAAAAAAAATATAAAACCAATTTTCTATTGGTTAGTTATAAAAAAATGGCAAATCATTATAAATAATAAATAATAATACAATTTGATAAAATAATTTATTAATTAAATGTCAACATTGCATACTATTTAATCAATAGCAAAAATCTAAACTTTATAATAATTTAGTGAAAATATATTTTATAGTTTATATAATTTTTAAAAAAAAAATGTTTTCAAAAGTTTTCTTATATATTGTATTAATTAATACAATTTTTGTTGTCTATTCCGAGTCTATAGAGACAACACTTCACGGTTTGTATAATAATAATAATAATTTTTAAAAATTATTATATTATTTAAAAAAAAATTAATTAATTTTTTTATTTATTTAACAAATTTTTTCTCCACAGGACATTGTACTAAATTTCAAGATTTAGGTAAAAATTATATTTTAGTTAAAAATAATAAAAAAATATTATATAGTTTATTATATATATATATTAAAAATAATTTGTATCTAAATTATCTAAACATCTATAGCTATAACACCGATACAGTACGTTAACTGTATATTTTTGAATATGTTTGACTGTAACAGTCAGCCGGACAGTAGTCTAGACATTGTCGAGATACTGATGCCCGAGCTATTGAACACTACGATGACCTGTAACGGTATGGTTACCGATAACTATCAGAACATACCGTTTGATGTTGTACTGGGAAATGGTGACCATCAAACAGTTACCTATAGCCAGTATAATCTAATTATTACAGTAATTGACGGTTAGTTTTTAAAATAATAAAATAAAATAATAATCCATATAAACTATATGATTAATTTACTGGTATTTTTAAACTATCACATTATTATTAACAACAATCAAAATAAATAGGTGATACCTATTATCGTGAAGTTGGCCTAATAACTGATGGTCCCTGTGCCGGATCCAAAATACAGGGTTGGTCTATATATTTGCCACCCGAAGGCCAGTGTATTACCAAACCGATGACCAGTTCGAAGCCATTGTTCGAGCACTGGAAGATTACCGGCAACTGTAAGGCCACTTGTAATGGAAAATCATATTTTGGATATAAATCAGGAATTAAACCCTAATTTAGTTTATTTATTTAATTTTTTTTTTAAGAAAATAAGCTAGTAACAATTTTTTCTTATTTAAAATAAAATGCTATAGAAAAAAAATTAAAAAATAAGTATTTTTTTATTATTATTATTTTGGTTTTTTGAATTTAATGTTATTGTTTTATAAAATTTTAATAAATGAAAAATTTATAATTAACAAATATTTCAATTTTTTTTTTAATAATTATTACATTCAAACAATAAATTTATTTATTATTGATATTGATTTTTAAATAAATTTTTTTAAAAATTAAAATTATAAATAATCTCAATTTGAATGTTTAACCACTAATTGAATGCCATATAATATCTCTAATTATGACAGTAATTGCCTCCAAACCAACTGATGTCTTGTGTGGTAGACATCCATCAGTGAGAGGTATTTCACTGCGTTTTGACCGAAGATGTCGAGGTTGTTGTTGTTGTTGTAATGCAGCCCTCAATTGCATTAGTATTTTAAGGATTTTCCCCATTCATATCATTATTATAATGTAATACTTTTAGTGCTCAATGCGAGTAATATTATACTAATTATCATTACTTATTATAATTGCTAATTATTAGTATATTTCCATACATTTTGTATAACCTTTTTAGTCCTAGAGGTCATACATAGTACTATTGGTACACTAGTCTACTATAGACCAGTCAGTTGTGTTGTGTACAGCCTTACGATCGGTTGTATAGTTAAGTGACTACCGAATAGTCCTACACATACTCCAGGGTAGGCCTGAGTGCCAATAGATCTATACCTGTCCTCTAGTAATGTTTTTAACCATAGTTTTTATTATAATAATATAATTTACTAAACTTAATATAGTCTAATACAAGTTATGTATCTATAATTATTACCAATAAATGTTTACTATAAACCTGTGGATAATTCATTGCTAAGTGTCTGCAATACACTGTCTGGATATCTAACCATTGGATCCAAGTCCTGGACATACTGTCCAAAAGATCTCAGCCCTTGGTATATATGCGTATATACCAGATATTGTTCCCTTTAGAAGTCAGAGTTCCCGTTAGATTTGAGGCATAAGGGTTGGATGCGTCCCGAGTATACCCGAAGGTCAACTTCTACACGATTGGTGGTACTTCTAGAGGAAGGCATTGCGCCGTTTGTACGGAACTGCGAGAGTCCTAAAACCCGGTGCACTGCAAGTGGTGGAGGTGCGGTTGTTTGTATCTTTGGAAAGTGATCATTGGTAAAGACGATGTCTAAAGGTATTAAGAGAGGTGCTGTTGCAGAACTTAAGAGGATCTTAGGTGATGACTATGACCCGAATATGAGTTTACGTGAACTCGAGTTGATATTAGGAGGAGACCATAATTCAGAGGCTAAGCGATCGTTAGGAGCCGACGATTCGTTTGTCAGCATTAATGAAGCTGCCGGTGATCGAGAAGAGACTACGGCCCAAGGTTTTATGACCGATGATGAGGACCACGTCGAAGACACCGAGATCTATGATTATGCAGAGTCTACTAATCAGTTCACGGATATTGAAGGAATTGAGGGACAGTTTCGATACTTCAATCGTTCGGTTGGAAGTGCTGTACCCAAGAAAGACGTTTCGAAAGCGGAAAGATCGGCAAAAGCTAGAGAGCGATTACGGCGCCGGAATGAGATGGCAATTGCGGAGATAGCCAAAGAAGATGCAGTACTTCGAGCACAACACGCAGCCATTAAGGCACATGAAGAAGCCGTACTAGCACAGGAAGCCGCAGACCGCGAACGTAAAGCCCGTGAGGAACACGAGGAATATAGTCGTCAGTTGAAAGCGCTAAGAGATAAGGTGGTGGAAGGTCTTCGAAGACGCAGAGCTGGTCAGGTAACCACTAGTGGCCAAAATCAGACTCTACTTCCAGTCACAGGCGTCAACAATGTTGTAGCGGACATCAACGCGAATCGTAGGATTCATGTACCGCAAAATGGTCTGACAATCAATGTTACGACGGGACCAGATATAGTTCACGGCATGAACACATTGAAGCCGATGGGGAACTCATATGTCTCGCAGACAGACCAGAGGAAACAATTGAGTTTGAAAGGAGTCGACAAGATAGCGACACCGATAAGACCGCAACCGTTGGAACCTAAAGTTATAGTCAACAATCCGGTCAAAAATATAGCGTCTAGTAGAGATGATTGGGTGCCCAGAAGTCCAGCCAATAGTCGGAAAAGTGCAGAAATTAAGCTATCGCCTAATCGACGACCACCCGATAAACATGGGACATGGCATCAGAAGTCAACCGCTAGGAAGATGGCAGCGGCAGAAACAGATCGAGTGTTTACTCCAAGACTAAGCCCTGTCAATGATTCTTCGGAATGGGAACATTATGACCCACAATCGTACGAGAAAAATGGACCTAATTTCAGGAGTAATGGTCAAAGTCAGCCGACACAGGACCCACTACTCAATTGGTCACAGGTGGAGCCGTGGAAAGTCTTAGCACAAGAAATTAAGAATGTTTTTGACGGGAAGAAAGTACCGAAAACCCATTTGAGAAGTGCTCCGCGATTTACGGGAGACCACTTAGAAGCTAATCAATGGCTTACAGACTTTAACCGAATGACGGCTACACAAAACTGGCAATCAAAAGACAAGGCCAGGTATGTAATTGAATATTTGAATGGTTCGTCAAGATTTTGGTACGACTACCGCTATGGTGAAGGAACGCCCGCTAATTGGGAAATTTTTGAAAGAGATTTCCGAAATTTTTATGGTTTGGGTTACGGCCAGGACGCCGCTTATAACGCGTTGGCCACTGCCACCCAAAAACCAGGCGAAAGAGCGTCTGACTTTGTAGTCAAGGTCATGGGATTGGCTCGTAAAATAGGAGATCCCGAAGACACAAAGCAGTTAGTAATGAGCCGATTAAGATGTGGACTGCGCGACAATGAAATGGCCGCAAAATTAGCTTTTGCATTCTCGCCTGAAGATGCCTTTGCATATATCCGATCTCAGGAAGCAACTGATAGGCTTAGGGAGAATCAGACGGCCAAAGAAGCGCTCGAAAAAGCAGAATTGACCACTAAATCAAAAGGTCGATCGCAAGATAAGTCCAGTATCGGTCACATGAAGACGCAATTTAGCAAATTTAGGGGCGAAAGACTACCGTATGGTTGTTTTAATTGCGGAAAATCGGGACACCGAGTGCCCAACTGTACCGAACCACGAAATGAGGTCAAAATGAAAGAAAGAATAGCTGAATACAATAAAGCTAGAGAAGCCGCTTCAGCAAATCAAGACAAAACTGGTAGTTCACAGAGAACTAACCATCAATTCAAGAGAAATGGTGGAAATTATCGTTCAGGCAATCAGCAAAGTCATGACAAAGGACAGCCTATTGAATCCGATCAGACGAAAACTGACAATTCACAGACCGCCGGAAGTGGAGGAAGTCAAGCGGAATTGCCAAAAGGTTCTTCGAAAGCCCTATGGAGTGATCCTTCAGGAGCTTTAACTATGGCCTGGCATACAAATCCGTCTTCCATTGTAAAAGATATTGACGATCCTTTTAAATGGTTAGATCCGTCGCATCCAAGTGCACACGCGTGGCATTCGTTTGCCAATGATGGATCTGAAGACAACGAAATGGGTCGAATAGACACTTCTGACGTACCGACTGTGGTCACTTTGATCGAGGGTTTGCCAGTCCGAGCACTACCTGATTCTGGATGTAGTGTTACTGTAATTAATTACGATTTAGCTGAATGTTTAGGTTTGCTACCGCTAAAACCATGGACAAGGAATCCATTGGAGACCGCTGATGGTCGAACTACTGCGCCTATTGGTTATGATCCAAAAGTCAGGATAGCGTTGAAAGGAAGAGCCGTCGAAATGGCAGTAGCAGTATCTTATGTAAGGAACCCTCCTATACTATTGGGAACCGATTTCAACAGAACTGTCCGATTGGCATGTTTGTGGGGATCATCGATGATTCGTTTCGAAGAGGATATCTTAAACGATATACACTTACGATATCTTCAAGAAAAACGACCTAAAGCTCCCTATGAGTGCAAACAAACTGACCAAATTGAGGACGAGTTAATAGGATGGGCCGCAACTGCGAAAATCGATGTATGGCCAGAACCGACGCTAAGATTGAATAAAGACAAGACTCGTTATGAGAGACACTACGGTTATGACAATTTTACGGTACCACGTATTGAAAAGGACGGCAGTGTTACTATGTTACCGGCGAGTACAGTAAAGTCAGAGAAGACGATATCTTTATTTACATTACATGAAAGCACACCATATACTTTACGAGTGGTCAAGAGATGTGTATTACCGCCGAGGACTGAGTCATATGTGACCTGTAGTCGTGGGAAACCAAGTCTAACCACAGCTCTCGTTGAAACGCGAGATGCATACGCAGAAAAAGGCATACAAGTAGGGATGGGTATTATCCAAGATAATCAGGAAATAGTTGATTTGGTAGTACGGAATACATCGCATGAACCGCTGATGATCCGGAAGAATAAAGCCATCGCTAGTTTCAAACCCATTACCGAAAGTCAGTACCTTATTGAAACTGAAAATCGTGTCAGTGAAGACCTAATTGGATCAGTTAAAGCTTTTAACACTGAACGAAAAGTTACGGTCGAAATGACACCCGAAAAACGAAAAGAGTTTCTGTCATTGTTTAAAATGGGACCACAGATGTCAGACTCTGAAAGGTCTATATTAGAGACACTATTATGTCGATATCGCGACAGATTTGCCGTCGGAGACGATGAATTGGGCCGTATTAAAGGACTAGACTATAAGATAGACGTTGGCAACGCCAAACCGATCTCAGCTCAGCCGTACAAAACATCGCCACACGAAAAGAAAGTTTTGGGCGAAATGGTTGATGATATGCTGAAGAGGGGCATAATTAGTCCAAGCAATTCTGCCTGGGGTTCGCCGGTCGTCTTAGTTGACAAAAGGGACGGAACATTACGTTTTTGCGTCAACTATAAA